CCCCCCCCCCCCCCAGTGTCACCATGGACACTGGAAACACTGCAGGCTCTCCATTTACCTCAGAGCCACCCACCCCCACCCTGCAAATGCAGATTGGCGAGGGGGCCACTGTCACCATTCACATGGATACAGACTAAAACAAAAAGACAGAGAGACCAACCCCCCCCCTCAACACAAAGTGCCAAAGCAATGGTGAATTTAATGACAGCCAGAGAAAGGTGGGGGGGCAGGGGTGGGCTGATCCAGGACCAGACCACAGCGACCACAGAACCGTTTGCGGTCACACAGCTCCCAGGTCCTGGGCAGCCACAGCGAGGGAGAGGGGCATAAGCTGATGGGCCAGCAGGTGGCGCTAGAGAGCTGTATTTCACCTGGAAATGGGGCTGCAACAGTGAAGGAGTTGCGGGGGGATCTCTGTCACTGCTGGGGGGGAACCTCACAGACTGACTCATAACCCCCGGGAGCAGGGCCGTACCTGAACGAACGGAGCCGGCTTAACACATCACACACAAAATGATTTAAAAGTTTGTGGTCAGGTAGTTGCTCCCCCGCTGAGATAAAACGAGGAGGAGCAGCGACCCCTAGCATCCCCCACCCACGCCGGTCTATCCGCCCCCCAGTAAGCCCTGCACTGCATTTACTAACCACCGGTGAAAAATGGCATCAAAACTCACAGTGGGTGGGGTCACAGTGCCATCAATCACTGCTCAGAACCAATAAAATCAGAAGTATGAAGTGAGTTAAAGCAGTCAGGTGAGTGACAGTGTAGGATAATCCTGCCCACTGGGGGTCACACATCTGTCTGATGACTGGAGAGCTGGGCTTCACTGCACGTGCGAGTGTCCCTCCCGGAAGCTCTGGAGGCTCGGAGTGGATCCAGGCCTTGTTCTTGGCACACATGGCTGAATAAGAAGTTCAATTTGTCTGGAAATTTCTCATGGGCATAAATTTATACACTATGGGGAACTAAGTTCACATGCAGATGTATTCTCTGCATACCTGTCCCTAGAAGTGGAAAGTTCACCCATTTTAAAAGATGGATATCTTCATGTGTTTGTAAAATGACCCTTGAGAAGAGAGGACTGTCACTGTAAAATGACGGGCTGGATCTGGTGTCCTGTCCGCGCTATCCACCAGGGGGCGCAGGTCCACAATCACCCTGGGTACCTCCAACCTCTTCTGTAAATGCACACCTGCAGCATCGGTCCTGCAGGGAGCCGGTGAAGGGTGACAGGTCATGGCTCCCCACGTCCCCCGTCCCCCCCACCACCGAAATGCCAAACATCGCACATGTACTGCCATCGGGCCAAGGAGATGCCACACAGTCAGAGGAGTCTCTATGGAGCACCGAAGGTGCCAGCGGCTGGAACATTCTGTATCAGACATCTTTAAGTAGCATGGCCAGACATCTTTAAGTAGCATGGCCAGACATCTTTAAGTAGCATGACGTGCGGCTGGTAAACGCGCGGACGCTGACGTGCGGCTGGTAAACGCGCGGACGNGCGGACGGTAAACGCGCGGACGCTGACGTGCGGCTGGTAAACGCGCGGACGCTGACGTGCGGACGGTAAACGCGCGGACGTTGACGTGCGCCTGGTAAATGCGCGGACGCTGACGCGCGGACGGTAAACGCGCGGACGGTAAACGCGCGGCTGGTAAACGCGCGGACGGTAAACGCGCGGACGTTGACGTGCGCCTGGTAAATGCGCGGACGCTGACGCGCGGACGGTAAACGCGCGGACGCCGACGGGCGGCTGGTAAACGCGCGGACGCCGACGGGCGGCTGGTAAACGCGCGGACGCCGACGGGCGGCTGGTAAACGCGCGGATGCTGACGCGCGGACGGTAAATGCGCGGACGCTAACGTCCCAGCACCAGTGAAGAGAGAGAGAGAGAGAAAAAGAGGCAGAGACTCACGGTCAAAGTGCTGGTGCCGCTGACTGAAGGTGTTCTGGAGGCTGACGCTCAGCTGCCCCACCGCGGCCCTCAGGTCCACCAGGCCCTGCTGACTGAGCTTCTGCTCCATCTGCGCGGTGCAGCAGGGGGCATCCCGGGGACACACCTTCAGGTGGGCACCTGCCGGGGACAAACACAGGTTAGAGGGACCAGACGCCACCGGCTCGGCTGACAAAGCCAGCAGATGGGGGACGGCCGTGACAGCGTTTTGAAAACATCTGCGATGCTCGTTTGTGGAGGGGATCCTTATTCTACTATTTTTTCCCCCAAATAAAACTTATAAAACCTCTGAATTGTTTTCTATAAACCCATGACTCTGAGAACACTGGCACAGCATTGGAACGGCTGTAGACTCATCACCGGGCACAGAGCACGACGGGCATCATCTGCTCAAAGCAAAGGCGGCACGCAAATACCCCCGGAGCACTATTACTCATTACATACACCGTTACTCTCCCGTAAATAATCCTTCCATCTCGTTAATAAAAGCTAACGACACATAAGCAGGTAATCTGATGAGTCAGGCTAATGAGTGTCTCCCTGGTGCACTGGAAAGGGTCGCAGCTAAGGGGACTTATGATACCCTCTCACAAAAAGGAGCCCATCAAATTAACATGGAAAAGGTGCTGGGATGAGGGGCCCAGCCAGCCATAAAGGCCTGTTTTTCTTTCTGTTTAATGTGGCTGCTGGTATTTCAAGAGAACAAGCCTTCTTTCACCATGCTAATTCCAGCAGCGCGCTGGGCTCCTTTGCCAACCCCCCCGAAGCGGCTCTCGGGGCCTCAGGAGGAGGTCTGCACCTCCGCTTTCACTCGGCCCATTGAAGCCCGAGCGCCTTCTCTCCATTTCTCGCCTTTTTTAAATACTGGCCGAAAACGTTACTTGAAATAAAAAGCAGAAAACCAGTCAGCCAGGCTAAAGAAGCCCGACAAACTAGGGGCAGCTGCAAACAGGAGATAAAGCAGGAGCTGTGGTAGAAAAAGCCATGATTATGCAAATAGAATGTAATTTCAATCAGTAATTACCAATGAAATTCATAATAACACTGTTGATTTAACTACAATGATAATAAATGATTAATTTCTGCTTTGGAATAGTTATTGTACTAAACGTGTAATACAATAATTTAAGTTAAACTTCAGTAATAAGTTTTCACTTCTCAATAAGAAACATTTTATAAGGAACTAACATGTGACAGTTTATACTGCAAGAGGACCGGATAAAGGTCCAGGTCTAATCCAAGAAGCTGCCAATATTAGAAACTTATGTACTGATGTCATAGGTCAAGGATATATAGGGGAAAGGAATATAGGGGAAGTAAGATTAAGAAAGTAACTGAAAACAACTTGTCTAAATAGGGTAGTGAAACCATAGGGCTAATGGAAAAATAGGCTAACCCTAATAACGGACCTCAATAAGCAGAAGTAGCTGGTGTCCACCGATACCCGAGTCCTCTGTAAACTGTCACACTTTTTGGCTATAAATGATGTGTGCGCTTCCTGTTCGGGGGCAGATCAGGGGACGCATGAAAGGCTGCTGAGTACCTGCCCCCCCCCCCCAAAGCTTTGTGCTAATGAAGTTCGTCAGACTCTTAAACAAATAGACTTCAGCGAAATTTCCACCACAGCGTAGACCAGGCGGCTCCTCAGATTTGCTCCCTGTAACAGGAGGTCATCGTTGGGGGCAGCGCCCACCTCCCCCTCTGGAGGAGGAGTCCATCAGCTCAGACAGAGCCACACTCTCATCCCAAACACACACCACACGTATCCCGGGAATCAGGAGCTCAGCGTTACCATGGTCTCTAATCAGCCAAGTGCTTTTAAAATACAAGCATTTACCAAATCGGTCACTTGTTAAGCTGGACCCCCTCCCCATGTAAGCTGGAAACTGGCCTCCCAGATTCCTGTAGGTACAAAACATCCGGTTCATGGTTAATCTTACAATACGCCTCTGTCCGGAAAGGCTCCTCAATCGGAGACTAAATGAAAGAAAGTGAAACAAAACAGCTGAGAAACACTCGTGGGGGCGGGCAAATATCGGGGGGCGAATAGGTAGGGGGGGGGGCGGCAAACACCTGCAAAATGATGGGCAAGGAGGAGGCTGGCAAATACCAATGGGTGAGGGGGGGGGGGGGCGGCAAGCACCCACAGGTGATTGGCCAGGGAGGGGCGGGCAAACACCGGAGGGCGATCGGTGGGGGGGCTGCAAATACAGGTGGGCAATGTATGGGGAGGGCGGTAATCACCCATGGGTGATGGGCATGGGGGGGTGGCAAACAACCACAGGCAATAGGTGGGGGGGTGGAAAACACTGAAAGGAGAAGGAACAGCCTGTCTGATACAGTCACTCCCAGGCTCTAAAAGCCCTCATACGGGTTTCTTTATCAGTGCTGCTCTAACCCACACTGGCTTCCATCTGACCCCCCCCCCCCCCCCCCGCACAGGGATTCATCGGCAGGCCACGGATCAGCCCTGTTGGGGCCCACTGGAACCCAACAGAACCCCAAACTCAGAACCCTGAGTTTGAACCCTGACACAACCCTTAAACTTCTGTCCGCATGCTGTCCAAAATGGCGGCAACAAAGAGTTTGTTGGTTTTTAAGAGAGAAACCTGCCTGCAGGAAGGAAGCACTATCTGATGGCGTGTGAAGCGACGTGACAGGCAGAGATGCGGCTCTTTGTCTGACGCACACAGCTGGAAGTGTGACCTCCACGCCCCTCGGTACCTGACGCGACGCCCTATAAACACACCGCGCCGCAAAACCGTAGCTGGAAGGCATGCGAGCTGTTTCAAGTGAGGGAGCTCAGATCCACACGTTCTAAAAATGGATTAAAAACTGCAGCACAGGCATTTCCCGCTTTAAGAGGCTGGCCTTGTTATTACCTTGCATTGTGGCTGCCAGGCAGGGTGTCAAACATTCATTCCTTTCTGCGTCTCAAACGGCTGCCACATACTATTACCTTAATAAAAAACACAAACCATGAATAACACGGGAAATCGGGTGCCCTAAATGTCTAGGCCTGCTGTATTTCAGAAGTGTTCAGAAAAATGTAACAAATGGATAATTAAAAGCACAGCTTCCTGCCTAGTAAAGTGCCCTTGCTCTAGCTGTGCAAAAATGAGGCACACCCTGTTTCCGGTTTACGCCGCAGACCAGCTTGCAGGACGGTGCTCGCAGCGGCCAGTGGATAAAGCCTCGTAGCCCCCCCCCCCCCCCCCCCCAATACCACCCCCGCACACCTAACCAACAGAGTCAGGGGTTAACAGGCACTTCTCTGGGAGAGGTTGTGTCCTTTGGCCTCCGTCTGCATGTGCCGGATGGAGACACACCACCCGCACGCTGAGGACGAGACGAATCTCGCACGCTCCCATGGGCGACCATTCTGCCCCCCTCTCCAGAAAAAAAAAAAAAACAGCTTGTTTTCATCTCCTCTACTTACTGGGACCCGAGTCAGTATACAGAATAAACATTCAGGAAGTCACAGGCACATCAGGCCAGCTTTGTATTAACACTAGCACTATTAACACTAACACTGGTGTACACCGAGTACGTTAACAGGCAGCATCTCCCAGATAGCTGTACATTCCTCTGTTTAAATGCCATTCTATTGAAAGGGGTTCACTGATAAGCCATTTATTTGCCGGTTCCATAGAACCCGAATGCATCCCCCTGGTCAGCCAGACAGACTACCCAAACACACCAAGAGCCACACATGCTCGTCAGGACCCCCCGAGAAAGAGTGCCTTCGTGGTGGGGGGAGGGGGGGTATCTTTCTGCAGATTCTGAACCATGCAGGCCTGGGATAGCAGACCCGTGTGCCTCCTGCCACCGTATTTTTTTGTGTACTATGTGGTGGGGGGGGGGGTGCATGCCTCCGCAGCATGTGCCCACCCCCGCCCCCCCCCCCACAGTCCCCAGCCCCCACTGCCTGGGCTACACAGTCATTTCCAGTCTCCAGGAAACCATATTAAAAAACAATACAATTAAATCCACTTGGTGGCTTCCAGCAGTGTGAGCCAGCAGGTTTGTCCGCGGTTCGTAGGCATGCCACATTTCCCATCAGCCTCGGTGTGGCTCAGCACATGCAGACATACTCAAAGACAGGAACGGGTCTCTCTCCCTCTCACAGACTCTCCTCTGCCTCCCATTTTACCTGTGTGTGTGTGTGTGTGTGTGTGCGTGTGTGTGTGTGTGTGTGTGTGTATTACATTGTGGGGACCAAAAGTCCGTACAATGTGGTTACAGCCTGTTATTTTTCCACTTTTCCCAGTTCCCACAAGTGGAAACTCAATTTTATAAAAAGAAAATCTGTGACTGTAGTAAAAAAAAAACTAAAAATGCCAAAAGTCTGTATGCAAACTAGTAAGAATCAAAGCCAAAACTTCCATGTAGTCACCCTGCTGCTGCCTTGCCACTAGGGGGAGCCTCTAGCATTCCCTTGAAACAGCCCCACCCTCCGTCCTCTCCTCCGAACCCCCATGACAGCCGAACCAGAGGCCACGGAAAATTAATCTTCAGTTTTTACCTTAAAGCTCTGACTCCATCAAAACGCCGCGTGTCCAACACCCAGCTGTGGGGAGAAGCACAAACCACCCCCCCCCCGAGGGCATTCCGGCCCCCCAGGCGTACCCCCAGTCATCGCACCACACATTGTGAAGGAGGCCACTTCCGGGTTGATTCCCAGGTGATGCGCGCGAGGGCCCCCTGAAGCCGCTCCCAGCACGCGAGCGCCGCAACAAAGAGGCCTTTCAGCTGCGCACTGGGCCCCGACGCGAAGCTTTGTCCCACCGTGGGCTTCAGCACAAAGCTGCGACGCCACGTCACCACGCATGTGCTTCATGTTACAACCTGTAATGCAGGCCGGAGACAAAGGCTGGCATAGCGTCGTCACGGCACCGCCCACAGCGCCGCCCTACCGTACCCGCTCCGGCACACCGCCACGTCCCCGTCGTTTCAGGGACAGACAAGAACCTCCTGCGGTCGATCACCACCAGCGGCTCCGTGCGCCCTCTCACGGGGACGTGCAGCCCAGCTCGTGGAAATCTCAGTGCAAATAACGTCTCCTCAAACACGTTGGGGATTAAAATCGCTCACTGACAGCTGTGAAAACACCAAACTGC